AGTTAATTAATTATTTAGTTTAGTTTAGTATATATATATATATATATATATATATATATATATATATATATATGATTTTAAAAATACTATTTGAATTTTTCTAGACCTCTGGATACTTTATTTATCAAATTTAGATTCATAAAAACAAAGATATTGATTTTACATTGATTTAAATATTTAAATAAATTCTTAAATTGAGTTTTAAAAATATTTTAAATTGCATAGGGGCCCATAGTGCACATGAGCCCACTATGGCCTAGATGGTGGGGCCTATGAGATCCTCTCATGGGTGGCACGCCCCACTCATTTAGGGGCATTCCATTTTGTTGAGACAAATGACTTTGGCTGGAAGGCCAAGTTGTTTGTGTTTTGGAAAGGTATTGGCTTGAGGAAGCTTTGTATGGATTTTTGGAAAGTATCAGAAGGCTTGTGCATTATTTTGGTAGCACAATATTATAATTGAAATTATTTAACTTAATTTTTGTTTATAGAAAAATGGGTTAGAAAATGGGATTAATGTTCTAACACTTTCTATGATGTTGATGGTTCATTTATAGAATGGATGACTCAAATCTCTCACCCTACAAAGCACCCAAGATCAACGGTTTATATTCAATCTCACGAGAAAAGATAAACCATAGAAAACCCTAAAAAACCCTAATCTTATTTTTGCACTATAAATAAAATGATCCATCCTCCATAAATCTCTATTCCAAAATCTCTCTGCTCTCTAAATATTTCTCTCACTCCCTGTTTGTTAAATATAGGAGGCACACCCCAACCCTAAAAGCTCTCTTTCTCTCTCTCTCTCTCTCTCTCTCTCTCTCTAAACTATAGTAAGGTGCATACCCCACCTCTTGGACTCTCTCTCTCTCTCTCTCTAGGTTGACATAAGGGGCATGCCCCACCTAGATGGTGTTATCTCTTTCTCATCTTGCTTTAATGAGCCTCAGGGTTGGGTAGTAGTACGTAAATGTTATCTTGTTTAAACTAGGTCTTGTTGGTTTGTACCTAAATTTGAGTTTTATGATCAAGAGGAGTTCATAGTTTTCATTGGAAGGCTTGGCCTAAACTTGCTTTCTCAGCTGAGATTGAAAGTTGATCGTTGAATCTCTTTTTGTTTTTTGCATATTTAATTATATTATCTTTACATTCTCAATCATAAAAAGTAGCAATTATTTTCTTTGTTTAAAGAAATTTGATTTAATGGCATCAAGGTTTTAAGGTCTTGGATACTACTTATAAGTGACTTTTATCAAAAGAAAAGAAAAATGGCGAAAAATAAATATATATATATTCACCGACAAGATCACATTAATCTTTCTTTTGTACGTCTTTATATAGTATAATATTGGCGTTTTATATAAATCCTTCCCATGGATTAGGTGAGGTCAACCGGGTCTAGAGTTGTCCTATTTGCACCCTTAGAAACCTGAGCCCCCATCGCCTATGAAAACATGCCTATGCGGAATGTATCTAAATAGCAGATGAGGAAGTTCATGTCCTGCACTAAGAATTTTCATATCACTTCTCTCATTTGAGTTCAAATTCATTGTGACCTTCATGTAGACATGGTACCTTATAAGGCACGGTGCCAATTCCGGATGACAAATGCCCTTAAACCTGCTTTAGTATATGAAAATTGCATAAAAATAATAACTTGCTTTTAGGATGCTTGATTCTCTAATGGACAAGATTTTCATAAGTCCCACTACTCATCTATTTATATGAGTCCTCCAAAATTCATCATGCATATGGATTTAGGATCCAAAAATTTAGGCATTGAGAATCCCTAACATGGTGAAGATGAATATTAAAAAGTAATTTTAAAAATACATCAAAGACGCTCTTCTAGGCTATGGTCGGGACAACCGTTACCAAACATTCATCTTTGGCATGTATGATTGACGTGTCAGTGGACATGCGTACGTGTCGCACAAAACACTTATCCTTATCTAATTATTTAAAGGAAAAGGCCTGTCATTCCACCTCATAATTAGCAAATACCCTAATGGTAATGGGCAACAAAATCGGTATTCATATGATTTTCGTCCAAAAGAATAGAATGAAAAACTGGAGCAAAATCTATTGAGTGCCAGAAAAAATAACGTGGAGAAAAAAATATTATTTGGGATTTACCTCCAAATATCATTTCATGGAAGAGGATATGCATTAGTAATAAATTACAAGTACCAAAAACTTTTCATTTATAATGTAAGTAATCAAATACGAGATCATCACTGAGACCATGGCATTTTTTTGTCTCCACACACTAAAATTCATGAATTTAAAAAAAAAAAACAAAATAAAGGGAAAGTATATAAGGAGATCATTTACCTTTAGTACAAGGTGGCTACAATTAAATTTGACCATTGGATGTGAAATTCAGTGGATGCATTTATTTTATTGACCAAGCTCAACGTTTCAAAGAAATTTTCTCAATCTTTGTGACACACCCAAGCTATCTGATTTCACATTTGATGGTTGTAAGTAATCGTGACCTCCTTACACATAAGGTAATTAGTCTCATTGTATACAATCTAATAATAAATATAAATATCTTGGAATGTCCTTAGAAGATGGAACGTGAGACAAAAGTAGTATTAAGAGAAAAAGTGAATTGGGATATGGGTGACAGGAGCTTGGTCCAATAAACCAAGAGAGATTGATTCGAATAGATTGCTCTAATACTAATATCATATGGAAAAGTATACAAAGGGACCATTTAGTTACAACCATTCTTATCCATCAAATATCAAACTGCATGGTTGTTAGTGTATTTGTAGCTAAACTCAAAGCCTAAAAAATAATTTCTTAAACTTTATGACACACCTCAAACCATCCAATTGGATATCTAATGGTTAAGATTAATTGTGACTTCTTTGTACTAACATTAAATGGTCTCATAGTATATTATCGGATATAAGATACCCTGGCTTGACTTTGCTTTATTATGAAAATATCCTTTAAGATAAAAATCACACCTTTAAAATGTTCCTTGAAATAAAGTCCCTCACAAAATTTCAAAATTTCATGTTAAGCAAAGTATTGCCAACTATGTGCCACCGTTAACAAATGATCCTCGCGGATTTAAGGAGGGACCATCATACCCAAGGTTCTCGGCGGTCAAACATATAAAATTTAATATTTTGAAATTTTTTTGGAGGAAAAGTTATATGACAATCAACGCGCTCATGCACAATCTGACCCACGAACGTCCATTATTGAGAAAAGGGTATCTGGCGAAAATATTAAATTGGTAGTGTAAAAGAATTCAAGAACAAAAAAAATTTACTTGAAAGTTTTTTATTCACATTTATAATCATCACTTCCTAGATCATGATCTCAAAATTTTTAGATCCAAATTCATCTTTAAGAAAAAGTCTAGAGGGGCGAGCAATACCAGTAAAAACCCCACCCTTTTATGAATCAATGATGACTTGAATTTTTTTTTAAATGGGAAATTTATGATTAACATCTCATTCATTTCTTTTGATTTTAAGTTTAAAAATCCCACTAAACATAATTATAAGCTGGAATAGTTGATATTTTAGTTGGTATTTTAGATGGCAGAGATTGGCACTCATTTAGGGAAGGTACCCTTTTTGCATGTTAATGGAGAGAGGAATTCGCACTGAAAAAGGCCATAACGTCTCCATTTCTTCTTCTTCTTTTCTTCATTTTTTTTTCCGAGTCTCTTGGCCCTTGCTCTATACCTTTTTCATTCTCACAACAAATTCTCATTGACAACTTCAACAAAAGAGGTAAGTTCCCGACAATGCGTTTTGCTCGTCTGATTATGTGTATTACCCCGAAGTGTAGTCCAACAAACAATTTATTTTCTATAAGCATCATTATTTAACTTAACGTTTCCTTCTATAAATTGCCCTTAGCACCTCAAAATTGAAGTTTTAAGTATAACCTCGAGAGATCAAGGATCCTTTTCTACTGAGAATTTCGAGTAAGACTTGAAGAGAGAGAACAAATTCAACTCAAAAGGAATAAAATTAAGGAGGGCTTAATGCACATCCTCCTAATCCCACAAATTCAAACAAAGAATGATGGTCCACCAACTGTGGAGCTCAAAAGGACTAAATATCTACACATGCATCCTTAACTACTATAAAGAATTATTTGAAATTTTGATACCCACATCATTCATTTCAGCTTCAAACATCTGTTCTTGTCATAATCCACAGCAGAAGAGAGAAATAGAGGGCATTACGGGCGTTGAACTGTGATATGAGTGAGAGAGCACCAAATCAGCAATCAAGCGACATGACAGATGTAATGAGAGAGTCACACATCACTGAGATTACGAACAAAACTCGCAGGTAGAGGGAGAGAAAGGAAGATAAAAAAAATGCAGACAAAAAAGCCAGAGAGAGAGAGAGACTCACATATCAAAAATCAATCGTGCAAATCTCCCTCAGTCCCTTTCTGTAAAACTGTGGTGCTCCGACCCCGACTCCCTTGGCAAGCTCTGCACTGTATCTGACCACCGCCCCGGGCTCTGCTCGCTGCTCTGTGAAGACCCCTGTGCCTCGGCCCGTGCCTCACCCACCATCCGTGCAACCTCGCCAGCTGCCGGCCTCTGCCCACCTAAACATGCAACTGCCACACTCAACAAGGCCACCAACTTCTCATCCGACCCCTCATTCCCTGAACCGGAATTCTCCATCTCTCTCTCCTCCTCCCTCACTCTTCGAACCCAATTCGACACCACTGAAATATCAGCATTGTCCTCCGGCACCATGTCTTGGAACGGAGCCCGACCCGTCAAGAGCTCTAATAGGAGGACACCAAATGCATAAATGTCAGTTTCCATGGTAGGGGTGCGGGCAGAAAATCGAAACTCAGGGGGCCGGTAAAAGAGTGAAGGGCCTTCCTCAATAGAAACCGGGCGAAAAGGGAAGAGGGCGTAGTCGGTGAGGCAGGATTCGAAGTCAGGGCCGAGAAGAACATTGGACGACTTTAGATTGCCATGGGCAAGGCCGGCAGTGTGGTGTAGGTACGCTAGGGCGGTGGCGACGTCTTCGGCAATCTTGAGGCAAGAGGTCCAGTGGAGGGGCTTTCCTCCGGAACTTCTAGTGCCTGTTTGCATGTTTTTTGAGTTAGATTAGGAATTCTCTAGTGCTATCTCTCCTAGTTTCGTAGACGGCATGAGAGTAACCAACGATCTCCCATTGGTGAAAGCCCAGAGAAGAAAGGATCTTTAAATTGCAGGATTTTAAACTGAAATTTCTTTTTTTAGAGAAAAATGAAAATATTAGTTCGAGTATGTATTTCCTCTAAGGAGAAGCCCAATGACCCTGTTCAAAGACCCATATGCTTTAGTGGGATAGGAGAATTGGAACACATTCTCAGTAGTTTTAAAGGGTGAAATCTATGAATAGAAAGTGAAGTAATAAGAAGAAGAGTTGCGGGATTTCAGATTTAGAAGCTAAGCATCACAGATTACTTGGGCATTACGAAACAATATTGGGATTTCACATCTCTCTCTCTCTCTCTCTCTCTCTCTCTCTCTCAATGCTTTTGACCATGATCTCGGGCTTGAAATATCAAGTGTCATCCAGCTGAGCTGTGGGCCTAAACACGGCATAAGGCCCGTGCTTCTGACATTAAAAATGTAAAATAAGCCCACAACTCCCTCCCAAAAAGCAACTCCAACTTTAGTATCTCAAATGGAATTACTTTTTCTTTTTTCTTTTTGAGGAAATGTTTTTTTTTAAAACTAGTCATATCCCAAATTGACTTGCTTATTGTTGCAAGGGTGCTAAACCATCAAAAGAAGGCACGCCTTCAAACAGTGTCGAAAGATGTTCCAATGGAAATCTTTGTAACGACCTGAAAATTTATTTTCATATCTAATTATAAAATTTAAAGTTTAAGAACTAGATCTATGAACACATGAAAATTGCCAGTCCAAAAATACATTTCAAGATTAACTATTTTCCAGACTTAAAATTTATTTTTTTGTCATCTTGAGGAATTTTGGGCATATTGAAACAACCTCTTCTAATAAATTTTTGAGGTGCGCTTTAACTTGATTGTTTAGAGCCTTGCACTTAAATGAACTTTTTTCTTGTTGCAAGGATTTATTATTTCCCGAAAAAACACAAGAATTATGAAATAATTCAATATTAACGAACTCTAAAACGAAGTATTTTGAAAATGTGAGTATCATCCCCCAAAATGATGGTGAACATCGTCTAACCATTGTCCAATAAAAACCAAATCAAAGACTCTTTAAAGGATAAACTTTTTTAGTGTGTTAACAACCCATACATATATAATATATGTGTCTGGAGTGATTATATGAATTTACTGCTTGACAAACACAGAGGGTGCTAGGGGCGTTGCTCATGGCTCAATGTTAGCTGTTTGACTAAGATCTAATGTCTCTCTGAAAACATGGAAATTATATGCGTGTGGAAAGATTTCTCTTCTATATACTATTGACTAAATTTAGGCGGAAATCAAGTTTTTCAAACCACAGAAAAAAAAACAGGCCCAAATCCCAGACAACGTGTCCAATTGAAAAAAATCGAACTTAAAAAAGGTGCGAAAACTATAGACCTACCACGGAATTTGGGGCCACTTTTGCGGCCTAACAACCGTGAATGCCCCCACATGAGACCCAACCGCACTTTTAAAAGAATGAGAAAAGGTAAGGAAAGGAAAAACCCTAGATTGATTGAGACATGGCTCCAGGTATAGAGTTCATCGAAAGCATATGCACAGAGCACTCTTGGTCAACCTCCACCATCTTAGACGATGCTTTTTAATAGCCATCAACATCAAATCCTGGGGTTTTTTTTAATAAATCAAAACCATCTCTCTCTCTCTCTCAAAGATTGGGTGGCTAGGACTCGGCCAAAACGTCTCACATCGCACCATGCCATGTATCTTTTATTCGGTTGGAAGATACGGTCCGAAAACGACACTTTAAGATCTCGCATTATCTTTCTAAACCAAAAAGTTTAATAACGTTCCAATGATATGTGACATTCATGTCGATTAGTAATTTATAACACCTATTTTAAGTGGATCGTGCATCTATTTATTACAGTTGGGCAATGTAACTATAATCCTTCTAAAACAATGAAAAATTAAAAAAAAGGTAAAGTTTATATAATGTAACTATAATCTTTCTAAAACAATGAAAAATTAAAAAAAAGAAGTTTATATAAGGTCGCAACCTTAAAATGTAGAATCCATTATGCACCTCAAAAATCTATCAGAAAGGAAATGTTGTTTTAATGTTGAATAAATGATCATCTCGACATTGACACATATGAATATGTTGTTTTAATGTTGAATAAATGATCATCTCGACATTGACACGTATGAATATAAAAAAAAAAAAAAAAGTTTTTGAATCCCTAAAATAATGCATCTTGCAACACATTATCTAGACCGTCCATTTTCAATATTTTCATATATTTATAGAACTACTTGATTTTAACCATTTTTGGAATTTAAAATTTAAATTTTTTTAATTAGGTATGAAAATAGATTTTAAGATAATACCAATAATTTTTTATAACAAAATTACATGTTATGATAAAATGCTAAGGTGCACCTTAATTGGATTGTTTAAGGCTGCATCCTTATAGCAACCGCACCCATTAAAAAAACATGTTTTAAAAATAGTAAAAAAAGTGTCAAATATACATCGTGCAAATTGTACCCTTATTTCGATAAATACGCTTGCCGCATTCATTGAACCATAAAAGACAAGTGTTCCGAAGTTGGAACACCTTTCAATTAATCATCTCGACTTAAAACATATGAATATAAATAAAAAAAATTCAAGTCATAAAACTATTGCATCTTGTAACAAGTTATCTGGAATATTAATTTTCAAAATTTTCAAGTATTTATAGATCTACATGATCTGTACTGTTTGTGAACTTTTAAATTTCATAATTAAGATTGAACATGGATTATCAAACTACACTTAAGATTTTTTATGCCGAAGCTGCATCTCCCGACAAAATTAGAGGTACACCTTACTTCTATGGAGTCAGGGGAAGTACCGTATACAAACCTATATAGTCCAAAAAGTGTACAACATATGCAGGTAAATGTTCCATCTAAAAACAACATAAACTAACGGTCCAAATGTGTGCTTACTAGAATTATTATTTCTAATTTTAAAAATTTATTTATTAAGAGGCCCGGAATTCTACATATGCAGGCTTGGTGGCATAGAAACCGGGTCATATAGATTATCCCCGTCACTAAAAGTTTCAAACTCTTTTTCCAAAACAAGGACTTAGTACCAATGTTCTCGAGTTAGTTTGTACCAGGCGAGTCCACGAGAAAAAAATTATTAAAAAAAAAAAATGATCTTCACTCGAGTTCCAAGTCCTACAGGAACTACCCAGTTCAGATCGAATAGGGCAATTCCCCGATTCAGGACCATCCGGAATCAAGTTCCAAGTCCTACAGGAACTGCCCGGTTCAGATGGAACAAGGAAATTCCCCAATTCAAGACCATCCGGAACAATGTGTGTTTGGGTGTAAGTACGTTCAAGAGAGAGAGTGTGCATGTTTGGGTGTAAGAACATTCAAGAGAGAGAGCGTGTGTGTTTGGGTGCAACAACATTTAAGAGAGAGTGTGTTGTTGTAGAGAGAAAGAAACAAACACTGACCGTGTATGAGAGAGAACAAGCTCCCGTTGGGGAAGTAATCGTAGACCAGCAACCTCTCCTCCTTGGCTTGAAAGTAGGCCCGCAGCCTCACCAAGTTGGGGTGCCGCACCCTCCCGACGACCTCCATTTGCATCTCAAACTGGTCGGCCCCAGGCCTCGCGCAATTCTTGAGCCTCTTCACCGTCACAATGAAACCACTCTCCATCACCGCTTTATACGTACTTCCCAAACTGCCCCTCCCCAGTATCTCGGCCGACGCCTTCAACAAGTCCTCCAAACTGTAGGCCTGCTCGGCCCCGCCAACGAAAACAAGTTTTCCAATGCAATCTTGGTCCCACTGAAAGTTTTTCTGACCATTATCCCCCTCACCAGCGCCGTCCTCTACGGCTGCGCCCTTCTCCACCTCCCTCGTCCTGATAGCGCCGCTCTCTCTTCGGCTCCTCTTCCGGGACAGGAGGCAAAAAAGCAACAGAGAGAGGGCAAATATGGAAACGCCACCCAGAGCGCTGCCCACCACAATAAAGATAATCCGCATTTTGTCCCTGGATCTTGTGTGGGATTTTCGGGTTTGAGAGGGGTATATGGGGCTTGGAGCGACGGAGACGCCGGAATTGTTGCAGCGTTGCCGGATTATTTCGCCGCAGAGGCCGAGGTTTCCAGAAAATGACGAGATGTTGAACCTCGAGAGTGCCTGGGTCGCCGGAATCTGACCGGAAAGTTGGTTTCCGGACACGTTGAAGAACGTGAGGACGCTCTGGTTAAGAGCCGGAATCTGACCCACCAGACGGTTATTGTCTAAGAGGAGGGTGTAGAGCCGCCGGAGGTTTACCAGAGTCACCGGAATCCCGCCGGAAAGCTGATTATCTGACAAGACCACAATTTTCAGACGATGTAGGCCTGAAATAGTGGCCGGGAGCTCGCCGGAAAACTGGTTTTTGTTTAGAAAGAGCGATTTGAGGTTCACGAGGCCTGATAAATCAGGGATTGAACCTGATAAAGAGTTTCCTTTAAAAGAAAGGACTCTGAGCTCGTCTAGACTGGTTAGGGTTAGGTCTTGTGATTCTAGGGTTCCATTGAGTTCCTGGAACTCCAGCACAAGCTTTGAGACCCTGCCGTTCAGGCATTGCTTCACTCCTGCCCATTTGCAGTGGTAGACTTCAGCACGCCATGGAAGCTTGTTGAGAGGATCTAAGTGTTGTTTTAGGGTTAGAAGCGCCACTGCATCATTTGTTGCAGAGGTGACAAGGTGAGACAGGAGGTGGATTGTGAGGAGGAGGAGCCCTAAAATGGGCAGTGTTTTCTCTTTCATTGAAGCTCTCTGTAACTTTGAATAGGGATTTAACAAGGTATCATTTCTTGCTTTAATGGCGGGCTAAGCTTCTCACCTACATTGGGCGGGAGACTTGGTGGCGAGGTTCAAAGAAAGAAGAAGAACTCTCCCTCTCTGCTAGGGTTTGAAGAGACACTAAAAACCCTAGGCCTTTCCTTGTCCCCTGTTTCATGAGCTTTTCTGATGCAGAGTATGATTACATGGTGGGACTCTCTGACGAAATGCTTCTTCTAGAGGGCAGAGCACTGGTTTTTGCCGGTCTTTGTCCCATCGTTCTCCACCGAGCTCAAAAAATATCATTGCTTTCTGCAACTTCTTTTCGGTGCTTCTCAAACCAGAGAGAAACACAGTGTTCTTGAAAACCAGCCATTGTTGAAATCATAAACAGTTGAAGTTCCACTCAAATACCACATTTCTGAACATCTGTTCATCAAATCCGCCATTTCACACGCCTCAGTCGAAGCCCGAATGAAGTTATTCGAGCTTCAATGGTTCCTGCAACCCATTCACCACAAAAACGAAAAAGCATTCAAAGACTGCAACTTTCTGCGCAAAGCATATAAATTCGAAATGGCAGTTAATTCAAACGAGGAGGAAAACAAAAAATTCAGAGAGAATTCAAATTAGGTCAATGCTGGAAGCTCTGGATTTAAGCTGGTTTTGGAGACTTAACAGTTGAAACCCTAGATGCGCTTTCAATTCCACAACCCTGTAGTTCACGTGAGCTCAACCAGAAGTTGCAGAGAAAACCCATTATTTTAATGACCCTAAGTTTCTTTTTTCATCGATTCTCTCACTTCAAAGCCATTGGGAAACTTCAAAAGGATGGGATCAAAATCGTAGAATGGATTTATAGAGATCTAAATTGAGCAAATCTATGACAATGGATCAGGAAGAGAGACACCGGTCTTACCAATAATTGAAGAAATAGATCACTGGCTTTCCATTTCTCTTTGGTATTTATTGGGGGGTCAAGAGGAGATGAAAAAGTAAGTTTGTTTTGCATTAAATATGGATGGAAATTAGATCAAATCGACAGTTTTAACGCAGTAAAATCACAGGCTTTGATTACTCCAGAAAATGGGATTAAATCTACCGTTTGCATTGAAATTTAATGACTTATTAATGAATTTTTTATCAGCATTGTAGCATTCTCAAAAACTTAAAATGAAACGAGCAATTTCAGATTTCTTTAGAGAACTTGAAGATAAATTTTGATGGAAAATGAGAGCTTAGATCAAGTACTTCAAGCTAAAAAGGAGATGAAATCAACAGTAACTATGACTGTAAATTTAAGAAACAAAAATCATGGCATGAAATTCTGATCATTCATAGGAATGGGGCTAAATCAACAGTAATGGAGAAGAAATTCACCTGAAATGGAGATTGATTCAAGATTTTCTTTTTTCAGCTAGTAAACATCTGCTTCAGTAACAGTGAAAAAGAGAATCTCATAAACAAAAACAAAATGAAAAAGCTCCAATAAACAGAGCCTTGAATACAAGAAATGGCTCCAAAAATGTCATGAAATCAACAGTAAAGGCTTCAGTTAAAAGTAAACAGAGCCGTACCTCGATTAAACGAAATTAATCCTAGAACACGGAAAACGTCCTTTGCTAGAGCGTTCGTTCTCACCAAAATTAGAGCTAAATCACAATCTTTTTCAGCTCTAACATCCCTGCTTCTGTGGAGACAAAATACAAAAAAAGAAAAAAAGGAAAATAATTGAACCCCATTAACATCGATTTTAACCTTAAGCCCCTGAAAAACACAGTCAAATAGTAAAATCCCCTAAATTTGGAATTTCACCACAAAAAAAGAAAAAGGCAAAAACCCTAAAAGCTGTTGAGCTCTGTTTCCAACACCCTGAATTTGAAGCCCAAAACCCTAATCAAATTCGAGTTCTGGTTCCAGGACAACCGCAAATTCAACAAATGGAGCAACCGTGAATGATTCCTGCTCTCGATTAGCGTGGTTATTTAAAGAAAAAGAAGTGTCAAAAACCCTAATTTTCTTTTTTTAACCGCGACACGGTTGCTCACGGTGACAGTGCCCACTCTGAAACTTGTCTGATCAAAAGTACTAGTGTCATTTAAGTTCGCTCTACCGCGCTTTTACACGTGTCAAGAGAAGAACACTTGACACGTGGTGGGGTTTGGGCCTCCAAACGACCGATTGAATGTCAATGGCCACTGGATTTCTCTTTAAATTTAGAGAGCGAAAAAAATTGTATATATTTACTTTGCAAAAAGTTTAAATAAGGTTGCAACCTTAAGACTTACAAGTGCACCTAAAAATCCATCGGATAATGTTGTTTTAATGTTGAGATATCCTTTAATTGATCATCTCGACATTAAGATATATGAATATCGAAAAAAAAAATTTGAGTCTTATAAATAGTATATCTTGCAACACATTATCTAGACCGTCTATTTTCAAGATTTTCATATTTTTATAAATCTACTTGATTTTAACTATTTTTAGAGTTTAAAATTTTATAATTAGATAAAAAAATAGATTTTCAAATAATCTAACAAATTTTTCATACCAAAATTGCATATTATGATAAAATTTGGATGTACGCTGTAATTGGATTGTTTAAACTTGCAAACTTATAGAAACCACACCCATTTACTTCTAGTATACTTTTTAACTACGAGGAGATCACCAATTCCTTTTAGCTAAAGGATGTAAAATCTAATGGATTCAAAGATATAATTTTCTTCAAATCTAAAACTTACTCCAATAGGACAGAATGGTGGAGCAAGATTCATGCAATTATTCCCAATTGATTGGGATAAGACTCAGATTATGATGAACTAATACGTTGAGAATTAAACGCTTTGTTATTTCCTCAACATTTAGACCATTTTATTTATATTTTTTCCTATAATCTTTTAATATTCAATTTGAAAAGGAAAAAAAAGAGAAATAGAAGAAAAATAAGTGGAAAGTAAAGTCCCCACAAACCACGGGAATTCAATTAATTTTTGGGGCAAAAAGAAAGACGTGGGTCACGAGAATCTTCATGCAACTTTAAAAAGATTTTTTGCGTTTGAAATAAAAACCATGTCCAAAGAAAAACAAGTATGGTTTGAGCAAATATGGAAAGTAGAATAAAAATGATATTTGTTTCATTGAAAGTTCGTTGTGGCCCCCTTCAAAATTTGGAGGTTTTATTTTAAGAGAAAGACATTGTTGAGCAAGTTTAGACTGAAGGGTTAATTAAACCTATTTACAAATAGCTAAAATGTAAATATAATTGTTTAATGAAGTGAGTTCTTGATTAATGAGTACTGCAAAATTTAAAGGAAACAATTTATATAAAGTCGCAACCTTAAAATGTAGAAATAAAGATGCACCTCAAAAATTGATCAGAAAATTTTGTTTTATTGTTGAAAAACCTTTTAATTGATCATCTCAACATCGAGATGTAAGAATATGGAAAAGAAAAAATTTTGAGTCCTAAAAATAATGTGTATCTTGCGCAACACATTATCTAGACCGTCCATTTTTAAAAACTTTGTATGTTTATAGATCTACTTGATTTTAACCATTATTGGAGTTCAAAATTTTATGAATAGATATGAAAATAGATTTTTAAAGAATCTTAAAAAAAATACACCAAAATTATATGTTATGATAAAATTTGGGGGTGCGCCTTAATTAGATTGTTTAAAGTTGCAACCTTATAGAAAACACACCCAAATTTAAAATATAATTTTTTTATGAAGACCCTCTACCCAATTAGAAAATGCATCTCATCGGTCCGAAGCGTACATCAAGGAATGAGATAGATTACTATAAAACACTAGCAAATATTCGTTAAATAAAGAGAAATTTATCAATAGTAATTTGAAATATAACATGTTATCTATTAATGTTGATTTAATTTCAATAATTACATCATAATACACACGATCATGAGTTGGAATAGGAGAAAATATATAAAATATTAAATATTCGGTAAACTAGGTATATTTTAAGAAAGGGTACGGTCTGTATAGAACCTATCTTCAAATAGT